TATAAGCCTGTTCCAGTGACCGCAACCTATGGGTTTTGGAAGCTGCGCGTAGCAAAGTCCAACAGACCACCAGGAGATGTGCTAACAATTATTGGCTGCAACTTTGCTCTCGGATCCAGATAACAGCTGACTCAGCCAATATCAAGGGGATGTATGATGGCATTAAGCAGGTCGTAGGTCCAATACAGAAGAAATCTACCCCTCTGAAGTCTGCCACAGGCGAGGTTATCCGGGACCGAGCACAGCATATGGCATGTTGGGTGCAGCGCTACTCTGAGTTATATTCCAGAAAAAAATGAGGTAACTGAAGAAGCATTAAATAATATTGAGTGCCTGCCTGTCTTGGAGGAGCTTGACAGAATTAAACGCGACTCCGGCAAAGCACCCGGGAAAGATAACATCCCTGCCGAAATAAGTGCTGCAAAGAGAGCATTCCCACTGAATTGCACGAAATTTTCTGCCTTTGTTGGAGGGAAGGTGGAGTACCACAGGACATGAAGGATGCAATATAAGAACAAAGGCGACAGGGGTGATTGTAACAACTATCATGGCATCTCTCTTCTTAGTGTTGTAGGGAAGCTGCTTGCCCGTGTCATACTGAAGAGGCTCCAGGTGCTTGCAGAAAGAGTCTATCCAGAATCACAGTGTGGATTCCGAGCCAACAGATCCACCATTGACATGGTATTTTCCCTTAGATAGTTGCAGGAAAAATGCAGGGAACAAAGACAGCCACTTTTCGTAGCCTTCCTAGATCTTACAAAGGCTTTTGAGTTGGTTAGCAGGGATGGCTTATATAAAATTCTCTTCAAGATTGGATGTCCATGTCAGCTCCTCAACATCATCAGGTCCTTTCATAAGGATATGAAGGGCACTGTTGTTTTTGATGGCCTAACATCAGATTCCTTTGACATTCGAAGTACAGTGAAGCAGGGCTGCGTCTTCACGCCAACTTTATTTGGGTTGTTTTTTGCTGTCATGCTGAAACACGCTTTTGGAACTGCAATAGAGGGTATCTATCTCCGGACCAGATCAGATGGAAAACTCTTTAATCTCTCTAGATTGAGAGCAAAGTCCAGCTGAAATGCCTACGGGATTTCCTCTTCGCTGACGATGTTGCCGTTACTACTCACTCTGCCGAACATCTTCAACAACTTATGGACTGTTTTAGTAAGGCCTGCCAAGACTTTGGTCTAACAATCAGCCTGAAAAAGTCATGGGTCAGGATGTGGATCCACCTCCCTGTATTACAATCTCTACACAGGAACTGGAGGTTGTCCATGACTTTGTGTACCTCGGCTCAACTGTTTCAGACACGCTCTTAGATACTGAGCTGAATAAACGTATTGGTAAAGCAGCCACCACATTTTCCAGACTTACAAAGAGAGTATGGCTTAATAAGAAGTTGACAGAACATACAAAGATCCAGGTCTATAAAGCCTGTGTCTTGAGCACACTCTTGTACTGCAGTGAGCCTTGGACTCTTCACACATGGCAGGAGAGAAAGCTGAACACTTTTCATATGCGCTGTCTCTGACGTATTCTCGGCATCACCTGGCATGACAAAGTCCCAAATAGTGCAGTCCTGGAATGTACTGGAATCTCTAGCATGTATACACTATTGAAAGAACGACGTCTATGCTGGCTTGGGCATGTTGTGAGAATGGCTGATGATTGGATTCCAAAAGATCTCCTGTATGGAGAACTAGTGCAGGGAAAGCGCCCCAGAGGGAGACCTGAGCTGCGTTATAAGGATATCTGCAAGAAGGACCTAAAGGACTTGGGAATGGACATTAACAGCTGGGAATCCTTGACCTCTGATCATTCAGCCTGGAGGCTAAAGATGCAGCATGGCCTTCTCCAATTTGAAGAGACACTTGTGTGGTAGGCTGAGGCAAAGAGACAGTCCCGGAACCAGTGAAACCTGGGGGCTGGACAGGGGACAGATTGTATCTGCCCTCAGTGTGGAAGGGACTGCCATTCTCGAATTGGCCTTTTTAGCCACACCAGATGCTGCCTTAGGACTTCTTTCCAGAGCACAATACCATAGTCTATCGAAACTGAAGGATGCCAATGGAATGAAATGCTGTAGACATAGTATATTCAGATTTCAGCAAGACTTAGACAAAGTAGACCACAACCTACTTCTTAGTAAGCTGGAAAAATATTGGATAAATAGCATCACCACCAGATGGATTTGTAACTGGCTGAGAAACCGTACTTAACAAGTAGTTAATGGTACTATATCTACATGGAGGGGAGTAAGCAATGGGATACCACAAAGTTCTGTCTTAGGCCCAGTACTCTTCAATATCTTCATAAATGACTTAGATGAGGGAATAGAAGGAGAACTCATCAAATTTGCAGATGACACTAAGCTAGCAGGAATAGCCAAAACATCCCAGAAAACAAGCTCAGGATCCAAAAAGATCTTGACAGATTTGAGCAATGGGCCCTATCCAACAAAATGAAATTTAATATGGAGAAAAGCAAGGTTTTAGACTTAGGCAGGAAAAACCAAAGGTAGAAGTACAGATTAGGCGAAACCTGGCTCAAAAACAGTAACTGTGAGGAGGTACCATGTATGCCGGCGTATAAGATGACTTCCGGAAGCGCTAAACTCGGTGTCAAAGACGGGGGTTGTCTTATACGCCGAGTCGTCTTATATGCCGGAAATACTGGTAGTTTCCGGCGTATAAGACGACGTTCTAGGAATGCAGCTCGGCGATAAAGACAGGGGTCGTCTTATACGCCGGGTCGCCTAATATGCCGGCATATACGGTACCTTGGAGTCCTAGTGGACAATCACTTAAATATGAGTCAGAAGTGTGCAGCGGCAGCCAAAAAAGCTAATACAACCCTTGGTTGTATAAAGAGAGGCATAAATCAAAATCATGTGAAGTATTAGCACCACTTTAGGTCACACCTAGAATACTGCATCCAGTTTTGGTCATTACAAAAAACATGTTGAGACTTTGGAAAAAGTGCAATGAAGAGCAACTAAGAGGATTAAAGCCTTGGAGACTAAAACTTATGAAGAACAGTTGCAGGATTTGGGTTTGGTTAGTCTAGAGCAGTGGTTCTCAACCTTTTTAATGCTGTGACCCCCCAGCCGGTCGTAAGTCGAGGACTACTCAACCGGTCGTAAGTCGAGGACTACTCAACTGGTGCAGCACCGTTTGCAGAATGGGACTTTTGGCGGGCTCAGCAGGGCAGAGACAGCCTGGACAATTCCTATTGGCTTTTGAAAGCCAATAGAATAGACTCTATTCAAGAGAGTCTATTCTATTGGCTTTCAAAAGCCAATAGAATAAAAGGGAGTAGCACAGCTAAGGAAAAGGGGGAAAAAATGGCGGACTGCGTTGTTTGGCGACCCCCGTGAAATGGTCGTTCGACCCCAAATGGGGTCCTGACCCACAGGTTGAGAACCACTGGTCTAGAGAATAGAAGGACTAGGTGGACATGATAACAGTATTCCAGTATTTGAGAGATTGGTCAACTTATTTGCCAAAGCACCAGAGGGCAGGACAAGAAACAATGGATGGAAACTAATTAAGGAGAGAAACAACCAGGAATTAAGGGGAAACTTCCTAAGAGTGATTAACTAGTGGAACACCTTGCCTTCAGAAGTTGCGAATGCTTCATCACTGGAGGTTTTTAAGAAGAGACTGGAAGTTAATTGTCTGAAATGGTACTATAGAGTCTCCTGCTTGAGCAGGGGATTGTACAGAAGACCTTCCAGCTCTATTCTGATTGATTGATACAAACTACAAAATCCTGGCTGGGTACAGACTAAACAGTATATGTATGGTATATGTTTGTTTTCATTCTAAATTACTGCTGGTAAAGTAAATGCAACCTATTTTCTTCACTACAAATGGCTGTATTGAAAAATCTGTTCTAATGAGCAAAACAGGATTTCTTTTTGAGTAAACTTCTTCATATATGGCTGAACTTTAGGCTGGTATTAGAGAATAAGGAAGATTTATAGAGCACGTTCACATTTGTAAAATTCTGTTTACTATAGCTGTTACTAATAAAGTCAGTTTTAGCCTGGTAGGTTGAATCTCTAGCCTGGTCTATCTGGTGGAGGCTGACACAACAATATCCATCAGATTGTATCTGGTGAAATAGCTATCAGTTATAACGGTTAGCTCCAATATAGGTAGTCCTTGACTTAACCATTTGTTTAGTGACTGTTCAAAGTATTTGGCACTGAAAAAAATAGCTTGCAACTATGCTTCACACGTATGACTATTGCAGCATCCCCATGGTCATATGATCAACATTTGGGTGCTTTGCAATTGGCATTTATTTATATCAGTTGCAGACTTCTGAGGTCATGATATCACAATTTGTGATTTTCCCAGCTGATTTCCCAAAAGCAAAGTAAATGAGGAAAGCTAGATTCGCTTAACAACTTTGTGATTCACTTAACAACTGCAGCAAAAATGTCTTATTTAGCAATGGAAATTCTGGTCCCAACTGTTGTCATAAATTGAGGATTATCTATACACAATTTATTGAATAAGCAGTTATGAACAATTATCATCATCATTAGTAGAATGGAGTAACATGTGGGAAATATTATGGACTTGACATATATCTATACCTATATCCAAGGATTGTGTTGAGTTTTATTGGCTAGTAATGATACCAGTAAATGAATTTATGCCTGACAGAAAAGCTTCTTTACTAAAAGGAACCACGTATAAGTATATTATCTGGAATAATTGTAGGGGCACAGCAATAGCAGAAATGAAACACAGGAATAAAATGAAAAAGGCAAGGGACCATATTATATTTTCACAGGAGAGTTATTACCGAGCATTGAACAACCTTCAAAACGAAAAAAGATTATTTTTACTGAAGGTAACCCTAAAATGGGATACATTAATTTTTCACACACTTCTCAAGACAAAGGGAAAAGTTATATGTTTCCCTTTTTAGTAGTATATTTCAATCATGTATTAATAGTTCAAATGTTCATTATTGACTCCAACCTTTTAGCCATTTATCTGCTGCATTAAGCATCACATCTCGCCGTTTTTTGTAAAAATCCACCACACTAACAAAAGATGAGAAAAAGAAAAGAGAAAAGCATAATGATGAAGAAACTCTTCCAAATTAGCAGTTTTGATGCTCAAAACAAGGAAGGTCATTTAGGTCAGGGGAGTCCAACCATAGGAATTTGAAGACTCAGCATGACTGGCTGAGAAATTCTGAGAGTTGAAGGCCACAGATAGTCAACTCTCTGGTTTAGAGAAGACTTTATGAACTTTATAGAAATAGCAATTGGTTATAAAGACTTCTGTGCCCTAAATGACAGTTTGTAGCTATTCTTCAAAATTAAGACAATTTTTTTAATTACTGCAAGCAATTTTTAAATAAAAATCTGCCAGGAGGAATACTGTATATATAATCACTATGCAAGGAACACAGCTGTTTTGTGTATATCTTTTTGACGCATCCAAACTATATTGAATTGGATGCATTTGGATGCATCATTCCTAATAATGACACACATATTTCTTTTGTTCTTTAATGATTTCAGAATCATTAAACAACAAAAAAATCTGTGTATCATTCTTAGGATCATTTACTGTTCATATGACAATGATATAAATGTGAATGTAAAGTATTGGATTTCAATTTTCACTGACTGTAGCACAAACTTGAATACATCTCTATGTCTTAGTTCTTTTCTAGCACAAAATGATATTTATAGATTGTTTCCTGATGGAAACAAATAATGTCCAAATAATGAGGATTATGATATTCCTATATAAAACAACATATGGAAGCTACAACTAAAAACTGTGACCCAAAAAGGAAAACAATATGGGATAGGAGGAAAAAAACCCTCCAAATCAAATAAAAGCTTAATTTACAGTTCTACAATGTTTCCCTGAAAATAAGACCTGCTCTTATATTTTTTTTTGTCTTCAGACACTAGACAGACACTAGATCTTATTTTGAGGGGATGTCTTACCCGCTTACTGCAGCCAGTCCCGACACTTGTCACTCTGCTGCCCAACTTCTGCAGCCGCTCACGGCCATTTGTAGGACGCCACATGGCGTGTTGTGCCAGTGCCACCACTCGTGGCAGGATGCCGCATGGCACATTGTGCAGGTGCTGCTGCTCGTGGCATCACGCCAGTGCCGCCACTCACAGGATGCCACGTGGTGCATTGTGTCGGTGCCGCCATTCATGGCATGTTGTGCCAATGCTGCCACTTGCTGCAGGATGCCATGTGATGTATCACGCTGGTGCTGCTGGTCATGGTAGGAGGCCAAGTGGCACATCACACCAGTGTTGCTGGTCGTGGCAGGATGCCAGGTGGTGTATTGTGGCATGCACGAGCAACAGCACTGGTACAATGTGCCATGTGGCATCCTGACATAACTGGCAGCACCGGCAAGACATGCCACATGGCTTCCTGCTGCGAGTGGCTGCCAGCAACCAAAAGAAGTGGATGGAACTGCTGCTGCTCATGCCACTGTCAAAAGGTGAGGCAAGTGTTGGGGCATGGGAGGCCTGGCTGTGGGGACCCTGAGGTAAGTGGAAGCAGGATGCGTGCAGCAACTCCATTCCCCCACCCCTGCCGTAGCTTGATTTTTATGTTTGTGCCTCACCCCACCTCGTACAACCAGATGGTAGGACACAGTGGGCGGAGATCTTAACTCGGGCTTATTTTTTAGGTAGGGCTTATATTTGGAGCACACATAAAAATTAAGCTAGGTCTTATTTTCGAGATAGGTCTTATTTTCAGGGAAATGTGGTAATAACCATTATCAATGGAAACATTTTGATAGCAGGAATTTAAACAGAGTTGGTCTCTGAGCAGAGTTCATGAGACAGTATTCCTTTTTTTTTATCTGCTCCTTTCAAATGTACAGGACAGATTTCAATTGATGTCAGTGTGCTGATTATATGTTTTAGCCAATTTCTTGTGAAGTTATCCATTTGATATAAACTATCCAGAGCTACCAATTTTGCTTGCAATTTTCTCAGTTTCCCCAATTTGTAATTTATTTATTTCTACAATTTCCAAAAGCTAGCATGTAAAATGCAGAGTCCTGCAAAACATGTACAATAATTTCTGATACTGTTAGAAATAGAAATTCCATTCTAAATATTTTCAATTTATTTAATTTATATTTAATCTAACCATGTTTAAAAGGATGCATGTACACTTGCTGCAATTCCAAAATGTTCTAGATTACAATGTCCAGAATTCTTTGCAAGTATTTCAATGGGTAGCTCTCAGGCAATTAAATCTGAATTCTGTACATTCAAATGGATGGACTTTAGTACAATAAATTGCATATATTATTGTGGCCATTATATAAATATGTCTTTATGTACAGTATATGTGTGTGTATATATAGAATTATTTGTGAGTATATTAAAACAACATACGTTTAAAATATATACAAGAAAATATAATAATTAAAAACATACAATATATCAAAAATGAAATATGCTAAATATATTTACCTCTCTACATGGTCCAGGAAACCTTTCAGTCCCCATTGTTGAAGAAGCTGGGCTATCATAATCTATAGGAATAGTAGGTCTACAGTCAGTATGTTATTTGCTCATCAACAGACACTAATAAAAAATCTAAAATGGCCTTAATAGAAGGGGAAAAAAGGCCAAAGTAATACAATCCTATGAACAGGATTATTCTCAATAAGCTATAAAGAGTGACACAGTTGGTGTTACGATTAAGGTACCATACTAGAAACTATTAGGTGAGGAGTTCTAGTCCAGCCTCATGCAAAAAGCCAGCAGGGTGACTCTTGGCAAGTCCCTCTTTTCAGTCATAGGAAGAAGACAATGGAAAAGCCCTTCCAAAAATGTTACCTAGAAAACTGCAGGGCCTTGTTCAGGTAATTGCTAGGAGTCAAGAATGACTCAAAGAATTTAAAAAATCTATGCACAACTACAGCCTTGTAAGATTTATTTGAAACTGTAAAATCATTTTTATAAATACAGTGAGGGAAAAAATTATTTGATCCCCTGCTGATTTTGTACGTTTGCCCACTGACAAAGAAGTTATCAGTCTATAATTTGAACAGTAGGTTTATTTTAACAATGAGAAACAGAATAACAGCAAAAAATTCCAGAAAAATGCATTTCAAAAAAGTTTTAAATTGATTTGCATTTTAATGAGTGAAATAAGTATTTGATCCCCTATCAATCAGCAAGATTTCTGGCTCCCAGATATCTTTTATGTAGGTAACGAGCAGAGATTAGGAGCACTCTCTTAAAGGGAATTCTCCTAATCTCAGCTTGTTACCTGTAATAAAAGACACCTGTCCACAGAAGCAATCAATCAATCAGATTTCAAACTCTCCATCATGGCCAAGACCAAAGAGCTATCCAACATTATAGACCTACACAAGGCTGGAATGGGCTACAAGACTATCACCAAGCAGCTTGGTGAGAAGATGACAACAATTGGTGTGATTATTTGCAAATGGAAGAAACATAAAATAACTGTCAATCTCCCTTGTGTCAACACTGCTAACATTGGATATTCTTGCTTTGACAATATATGAAGATGCAGCCTTTTTCTTTCTTATGCTTTACTTATAGAATTAGATGACGTTGAGGGAGGAGGCGGAATGTGGTGGGAGTTAGTTAGACATAACAATATTGTACTAGTGTGTGAAATAAGAGGTGATAAAAATTGGCCTGTAGCAGAACAGGAGGGAAAGCCTGCATTTCAAACTAATTGGACAATGTGATTTATGACTGTTAATTGAAGGAGGGAATTGTGCCTTTATACTATGTGCTCAGGGAAGGGAATCCAATTTTTGGCTTCAACTATGTTAGTGCCAAAGCTATGCTACTCCCATAAAGATTCTTTAAGGTAAACAATGCCTCAAAGTTCTTTGAAGAGTTTCATTTGTCGGAACCATGACATTAAGCGAAAACTCCAAACTTTCCAAATTATTTAGGGGTCCTGAACCCCAGTCGCTATCCCTAGACTTGGGGGATAAGCTGGCAAAGATTCAGGGAAGATTTTATCATGAAGGAAGACAAATTGCCTGAAGCCAGTTTCCCGGCAGCAGCTGCTACCCCAGGGGGGGAAGCGACAGTAAGCAAGCCGGTGGAGAAAGAGCTTTTGCAGGCTTCGCAGCTGGGAGCAAAACACAAGCAGCTAGGACAGCTGATCTGGTTGACAGATTGGGACAAGCTCAACGGAAACTCCAGACACCTCAAGACGGCCTTGCCACCCTAAAGAGCTTCAAAGGCAGATAAGGTGGAGCTACCACGAAGGGATTCCCACATCACATTCCCCAGACCGGTGGAAAGCAGCCAGATCACACAGGAACCTGTTGGCCAGTTCACATCCCCCACACAGGAGGATGCCGGGACTCAGGCTGGAGCTGCCCCTGCTCTACCCTCTTTCGACAACGACGATGAAGGAGAGAACGACCCGATGGTGAGTCGACACATCCCACCTTTCTCACTGCCTGCCAAACTCATAATCCCTAAGTCAAGGGCACAGGCAGACTTAAAAGTGCTAGTCAATTCCGGATGCTCCCGATGCGTCATTAGCTTGCCATTTGCCATACGAGCAAAACTGCTCTCCAAACCCATGAAGTTTGAGCAAGCTGATGGCTCCCTGATGGGAGGGACTGAGGCTGTGATCCTAGGATTAGCCTGGTTGGACAAATGGAAGCCATTTATGTGGTGGGAGAAAGGAATGAGAACTGTGAGGCTACCTATAGGGCCAAAAACCCCACTGATTCAACCAACGTTACAGAAAGCTTTAGGCCACCTAATGAGAGATCACACATGGCTGCCTCACCACCACCAGGAGAGCCATTCATCCCCAGCGAGTACAGGGATCTAGCGGAGGCATTTAGTGAGAAAGAATGCGATGCCCAGCTTCCTCACCGACCCAATGATTGTTCTATCGAACTGTTGCCGGAGCCAAACTCCCACGATCGAGAATGTACACTATGTCCCTCCTCAAAATGGAGCAGATGCAGCGATACGTGGATAAAAACCTAGCAAGGGGATTCTTTGAACGGGCCAAGTCTGCTGTGGGGGCCTCTGTCGTTTAAAGAAAAAAAAGGATGGTCTCTTCGTCTCTGCATTTATAAAGGTCTGAACGCGGTGAGTGCGGAAAATAAATATCCCCTCCCCCTCCTGAAGGACTTATTCACCCACCTGGCTAAGGGGAGTGTCTTCACTAAATTAGACCTGAGAGAGGCATATTACTCGGTGAGAATAAAGGAGGGAGATGAGTGGAAAACTGCCTTTAACTGCCCCCTGGGAAGCTACCAGTTCAAAGTCATACCATTTGGACTACAGGGGGCCCCAGCTGTATTCATACAGTTGATTAATGAGGTCCTACATAATCATTTATACAAAGGGGTTCTGGTGTATCTTAATGACATCCTGATATACAGTATGAATATGATTGATCATATAAAGCTGGTGAGAGACGTATTAAAGAAGCTATTGAATGCCAAGCTTTATGCCAAATTGTCAAAATGTGAATTCACCAGACCCGATTAGATTATCTTGCTTACAGAATTTCCAATGAGGGCATTGAAATGGACCCAGCCAAAGTGAGGACTGTAATAGAATGGCAGCTCCCAAAGACTCACAAACAGCTCCAGAGCTTTGTAGGTTTTGCCAACTTCTGTCATCAATTCATCCCCTCTTTTGCCGAGATTGCCCTACCCCTTACAGAACTGCTCAAAACAGGCAAAGGAGGAAGGAAGCCGTGACTGAGCCAACCACTAGCATGGACTATGGGCTGTCAAACAGCTTTCGAGAAATTAAAAGACTATTTGCTGCTGAACCAGTCCTAAAACACCCTTGCCCAGGGGAGCCCTTTGTAATTCAAGCTGATGCCAGCGACGTGGCCGTCAGAGCTGTATTACTGCAAAAGAATAAAAATGGGATCTTGCAACCCTGCGCCTACACCTCTAAAAAAATTACTGAAAGTGAAAGGAGATGGGCAATCTAGAAGGAGGTCTTCGCAATTAGTGGGGGCTATTAAACTGGCGACACTATCTAGAACAGGGGTGTCAAACTCAATTTCACTGAGGGCCGTATCAGCATTGTGGTTGCCCTTGGGGGGCTGGGTGGATGTGGCCAGAGTGGGTGCAGCCTACTGGGTGGGTGTGGATGGAGTGGGTGTGGCCTTCTGGGTGGGTGTGGCCAGTTCTATATCATTCGTGTCAAGGGTGCCTGTGGGGGCCTGGGCAGGAATGGGACAGATCTGAGGGTCTCTGAGGGTCTCTGAGGGGGTGGGACCGGGGCAAGTGCCAAGGTATAGTCCACCGGGGAAGTGCCAAGATGGCCACCACAAATTGTACATTGGCTCCCGGCTGGCCTGGGCCAGGGCCAAGGCAGTGGGGGCCATTCCCTCACTGTTTCCAGGATGGCTTCGCGGGCCACATGAAACCACTTCGCGGGCCACATCAGGCCCCCGGACCTTGTGTTTGACAAGTCTGATCTAGAAGGGAGCAAGGTGTCTTTTGAACTATGGACAGATCACAAAAATCTGGAAGCACTGAAAACTCCCTGCAAATTGTCCCCAAAGCAAGCGCGGTGGGCACAGTACTTTAACTATTTCAACTTCACCCTAAAGTACATACCGGGAGGAAAAAACTTCCTAGATGATGCACTATAGAGATTGCCCCAGTACAAAAGCGAACGTGAAGAGGTTAATGAGCAGTTATCTCCAATCCACAAACTGCTGCTCAACTCATGCCCCACAGGGCCCCTAGTCCTGATGACCCTGGGGCAAAGAAAATAAAACAAGAGCTCCTCACCGATCAATGTCCAGTTCAGCCCCTCTACTCTAGTAAGCCCCCATGCTATCAGCCCCCTTTACCACAAAGATCCTGCAGGAGAAGGGCAGTGTGGACAACCGTGGGATCTGGCAGGGTGAGAGCTGTGAACCATAAACACAAAGCTTTCGCTGTGTCCCTGCACAACAGTTACAGTGCCCTTACTGACCTTAATAGGGACATTAAGGAGACAGGTAAAGGTATTTGTGAAGATAACTCAAATAAGCAGGGGATTGTGGTCCGAGATGAAGAACTAGATTCTGACAGGGAAAAGTGTGAATCAGGTATTGCACATCAGTCATGCAAGAATAGAAAGGCTCCCAAAAAGAGAAGCTACCTTCTGGTAGGTGATTCAATTATAAGGGATGTAAATTTAGGGAAGGACACAGAGGCTTTGAAACAGGTTAGGTGTCTTCCAGGTGCTACTGCCAGTAGGGACAAGAAGCGTATTTCTAAAATAATCAAGAATGGCAGCAAGGACTTGGATGTGGAGGCTATTGTACATCTTGGCACTAATGATCTATCCCAAAAAGATGTACTCTCTGTGCAGAATGATTTCCAGAGCTTGGGGAAGGAACTTAGCAGAATAGGCTGTAGGCTTACTTTCTCAGAGGTCTTACCAGTGTATAAGGAGCAAAACGGAAAAGGCCAGCGCATAGCACAATTCAATATGTGGCTAAAGGAGTGGTGTAAAGGGGAAGGCTTTGGATATATTAGTCACGATGTCAGTAGCT